ATAGAAAGATACAGAGGCAGCATTGGAAATTTTAATTCTTACTTTTTACAATAGTAATATCGTATTTTCTCTAATCGTAAATTGTAAAATTTCATGAATAAATAGTAAATTTTCTTCTAAAATATTTGAAAATTAATAGTAATAAAAGTATAGTCCAGCTTTACAATAGTTGTATCGTAAATTTTTTTCCGTGTAGTTTATGAAGTATCAGAGTTTAAATTTCACTTTACCTACAAGAAAAATTATTTTATTCCTTTATGTATCGATGACTTAACAGATTTACCAATTTTCGGTAAAATCAAAAATATTTTCGTTAATGATAATAATTTAATGTTTTACTGTAAATTATGGGAGACTGTTTGTTATGATGCGAGCTTATGTGCAAATGAAATAATTGAAAAAATGGAAGAAAAATATCAAATTATTAGTTTTTCGGATTTGAAATTTCCACTACCTTATGAAAAACATCAATGTTATGATAAATGTAACTACTATATAGTTCCTAAACATTTATTACTGTAAATATTTAATAACTTGCTGTATTTATTATATTGAGTTAATTTATGTTTTATTTGATTTCAGTCTAATTGTAAAATAAACATTAATTTGTTCAATTTTAATTAATATCTAATATTATTTAGTGTTTCATAAATTCTTTACTGATAATACACCGATACGGAGTTACTGTACACCGCTGTAACACTGATTTAACACCGGTAACACCGATTTAACACCGAATTTTCAACACCGCCGAGAACCATTTTAACACCGGTGTTAATTGACCGGTGTTGCACAGCGGTGTTAAAATGAGTCCATTTTAACACCGCTTTTTTTACAGTGTATAAGACACAGAAATTTTTATTCAAAACAAATATTTCTTCACACAAAAAAATTTATCTATAAGAATTTTTTTGGTTCAAAAAAACTTTTTCAAGTGAATTTTGATTTAATAATTTTTTTTTAGATTCAAAAGTTGAGTAATAATATTTTTTGTAATTTTTAGCTAGTCTCCGGTAATTTTTATATTAGAGAAATGCTGGACCATTGTGGAACAAGTTATGAAATGGCGACATTGTTTGGAATGATATTTGGCGTGATTTCGGGAATAATAAAAATTATACTTTTGAATTTATCTCGTGACAGCACATCGTTTATATTAAAAAATATAATTGATGACTGGTGGATTATCAAAGAAAAGAAATCAAAGTTTATTATGAAGAAATATGCATCTCTAAACAGAATGTTATTTTACGGATTGTTGACACCATTTTTGATGTACACGGTCAAACTGACTTTAGAAAAAATTCCACATACTGTTTTAATAGACAACACAACTGTTCTATTGCGAACTATTCCTATAAGCTCTGAATGTTGGAATTTTTCAGACACACCTACAATTATTTACATTATTCGCTTCGTTTGGCGTACTTTTGAGTTCATGATTTACAACATTGTCAGCTGTGGAATAGACCTGTATTTTTTTGTTATAGCAATGCACATCTGCGGGCAAATGGAAATAAGTAACATGAATATAAGAGATTTTATGGA